CAAGCAGCCCCGAGTATTTCAGGCTAACGAGACTAGGCCCTTAAGTAAATGAATGAGGAGACAGTCACAATTGCACTTTTAATGCTCTCTGGGAAATAATGCATGTATAGACTCATCAGTCAAATCTGATAAAAACTGCTGAAAAAGTTTTGACTTTAACAACACGATTGGCTTGATATGTTGATGTGTTCAGCCGTTACAAGGGACACAAGGATTCTTTAAGTGATTTGTCTTTCTATTATCACGTCACTGCATCGACTCCCCACTCAATTATAACTCACTCACTGTGTTTGTGTTTTCCTGTGCTGCCTCCCTCCCTTCCTTCTCCTCTCCATGTTTATGTTCTTGTCATTTCCTCCCTCATTCTTTCTTGGTAACATCTCTCACTCTCTCAAAAGCATGTTTCTTTCATAAAAAGTGAAAGAACAAACAAACAGTTTTATAATAATATTAAGGGTTTTGAAGAAAAACTTTAGGACTGCTAACTGGTCTGTGTGTGCCTCCTGTGCAGCCGAGCAGAGCCGCCGGTTAGATGCTAAAGATGCTAACAGTTGATCAAATGTGCCAAACTGCTGCTGTAAAGATGTGCTGGAGAGGACGAACCCTCCGGACACTGTAGGCAAACAGCAGACAGCTCTTCAGCGCCGGCTTTGAGCGACTCTGTTGACTTTTGTTGCACTTGTGCTGGAATGTTCTCAGTGAGTGAAACGCTGCCAGGGTCGCACAGTCGCAGACGATGTTCTGACCTGGACCGGTATCAACAGCCTGCACGGAGGTAGCAGCAAATTAAAGTTGAGTTGCCACCTGCGTATTTTTTTTGTAAAACCAACGACCTTGACAACTTTGAAACAGGTTTCTAAATCTAGAAAAGAAAAGAGGGAAAAAACTAGAGATAATCAAAAGATACTGCCACCCCCCTGCAGCCTTCCCCTCACAGTCATATCCACACACACACACACACACACACACACACACACACACACACACACACACACACACAACACTGGCAACACAGCCGCAGCCGTGAGCCTTTGGCTACGATTAGCAGAACGCTAAACTACTAGCAACATACAACACATTTATACCTGTCCAAGGGAAGTACAGTACACTTGTGCAACAGCCAATAGGAATGCTCTCTCTGTGAAAAGGCTTGTGATTGGCCGAAGTCTCCGGTCTCAGGCTGGATTTTCTAAAGCCTTTAAAACAGAACGAGGAGGAAGTGCAGACGTGTAGTTTCACTCAGACCACTTGAACTGCAACGTGATTAAAGATGATTACTGAATGTTTGCCCACTGAGGCCAGAGAATTACTGCCCCCCCCCCCGACTCCAAGACTCATTATTTTGGGGTTTATTAGAAGATATAGAAATCAATAATTCATCTGAGTGTTTTTAATATTAATGAGGCTAACAGTCGACAGCCGTGCTAGCAGCTCTGTGATGCTGCAGTAAACACTAACGTCGACACCAACATGCTCTCAGTGACAGGTTTAACGTCTTAGTTTAACACAGGGTTCTCCAGCCTCTATCACTGTGAGAGCTCCTCATGTCTCATACTGCTGCTTTGTCTGTGTTTGATTTAGTTGCATTTGGAGCTGATTAACTGAGTGAAGTTGTGCTGCTCTGTTTCCACGGTTTGTGCGGAGGATATTCTCAGAGCCTTCGGGTGAGATGCTGAGTATCTCGTGAGCCGCCTGTTGGAGACCCCCTGGTTTAGCCCGTGTCATTAAAAACAAATATGGCGACCTCATAAGTGGCACTAGAGGAACAGCCAGGGGAGGTCAGTGGGATCCATCTACTGGGGACTTGAATCGGTGAGTAATTCAGTAGTTATTGATAACCTGCCATCACTAATGAAGTATGATAATCTGGTTGAGAATGTGAACAACAGAAGCATCAAATTGGATTTGAAAAATAGACACGATCAGTAGCTCAGATGCAGTTTAATCATTTAGTTTTTTTTTTTTTGTTTGTTTTCGTTTACAATCAGCAACTCATCTGAGGGTTCTCTCCATTTCTCTCTTTACCTTCTATTAGTGGAGGCATTTCCTAAGCATTGTTTACCGTTAAGCGGCTTATGGTAATCAGCGTCTTTATTTGCAGCAGGAAACAGCTATCAGACGTGTGGTCCACACTGAAACCAGGTGAAAATCAATTTAAACCAAATGACTCCATTAAGAGAAAAGTGGGAGTATTCTGCAAATGTTTAAAGTTTCACTTTCACTCTTTTCTGTTGGAGTCTGTTTATTTTCCTGTTGTGTGTTTCGACAGCTGGGAAAAACACTTTGACTGTCTGTGTGTGTCAGGAAGAGACACCCGGACGCTCCGTGCACGCAGACGGTAAAAAAGCACCCGAAGAGACGGAGTGTCGAGGTCACGGACAGGGGGGGAGGGGGTCTGCGAGGTCGGGGGGGGGCATATCTGGAGCTCTGTCGCTGTTCCTAATATAACTGTGTGGAGCGACAGCTGCTGCGTGTCCTGGAGCAGGTGGGCTGTGTTACACGTCAGTCACGGTGGGAGGGGGACGGACGTACAAATGTAATCAACGTATAAACAAGAGCAGAGAGGGAAAATAATGGCTGCCGGCTGCACATAGGACACAGTAGTAGCTGCTTATTTCCTTAGTCTCTTCCTGTCTGTCTTTGTTTCTAATAAGAGAAGACAAAGCTTCTCTGACCCTTGTGTGAACTCCGCTCTCAGTATAACTTCTACCAAGAATAATATGACGTCTAAAACAAAAATTTAAAAAAATGAAGAATATATATTAAATTGCAAGAATTGCAAGAACCCTTCTAGCTCCAAGGTCTGAGTCAAGGTTGACCTCTGGATTCAGACATAGTATAAGGCAGAATCAGCAGAACTTCCAGCCAATCGCTGTAAATAATGAATAAATAATAATATATTGATATAGTATGTTAATGATCCACAACCTTGTTTCAGTGGTTTGTAGCTGAAAGCTTTTATCAAATAAATGTCACCACTGTGCCTCTAACTAACACCAGTCTGATGCTCCCTCTTCAAGAGCTGCTATTGCACAGAGACGTGATTTTATGATGCAACACTTCACTACTTTACTATTTATTTGAGCTCCAAATGGAAGAAGTAACTATTTTTTTTAAACTAAACTTTAAAGGTCTCATATAAGGTAGACGTCCTTGTGTAGTGTGATTATAGATCAGGTCTAGCTTCTATATTAATACTGTGAAAGTATCAAAGCCTCAGTCCACAGAGAAATGCACACAGCCTGTATTCAGAAACTGAGCCTTAAAACCAGCCGTCAGGACTTCTGGAACTTTGTGATGTCACAACAAAGCAGTCACCAAGCCCCGCCCACCTGGACCCACCATCCAAACCTTCAAATATCCAAAGACCCTGTAAATGTTTGTTTCACCAGATCTCAGTCTGAGTTCTCAATCTCTGATCAGTTGTGAGTAAATTTCATCCATGAACCATCCTCAGAAAAAAAACAAAAAACAAATCTCAATAAGTGTAATCAACTCAGACCAGACCTCTGTCTCGTCACGCTCATGAAGGTCTGCAGAAAATCTCGTCCAAAAAAAACAGGATAATGAGACCTTTGCAAATCCTGAGGCAGCAATTTTGAGTTCTGAAAAAAAAATAAAAAAGGCACCTCTCATCGGCTTTCTGTCTGGATGTAAACAAGGTTTCTCCAGTGAAATTTAAAAAGTATCTGAACTCTGCACTGATCAAATGGATCAACAGATTATGCTGCAGGAGTTATTTCAAAAGTTTGACAAGTTTCTGTGAGTGAACTTACTTTTTTCTTCCACAATGGAAATTGTTTGTTACTAAATCATTTGTAAACCGACCACAACCTTGTTCCTATTGACTTGAGACTCATTCTGATTAAACTGAGATTTGATTCTGACCCGGACTGTGTGTCTAGCCTCAATATGATTCAGATTATTGAAAATGCATCGATCGTCTTGTGAGGTGCGTTACTTTGTTCATTCAGAGATCAGATTTAACTCAAAATTTTGCCAATTTTCAAAGATTCTTTTGAACCTGTTTTTAGTGATTGCTTTACCCTAGACAAAATTTTACTTTTGAGAAGTTCGGTTTCTCCTGTTGAATGAGAGGTTTTGGAAATTGCTTCTGTGGTTTTGTGGAATTCGGGTATTAGTTTCAAAGAGTTTCAAACAACAGCCGGTCCGAAGTTGGACTCGTCTCCCAAAGGACTAAAGACTCCAATCGAGACTTGCTGTGACAGACTTGAGCCTTAACCTGAACTTGTCCTGATAGATTTAAAAAAAGAAATTACTTTTACTCTCGGAGCTACACAGAGACTGCGGCTGAACAAGACACCCCCCCCCCCCCTCTCCTAAAACACACACACAAACCCCTTCATCACAACTGAGCCAGCCGCTGGCCCCTCCCACCCTGAGCAGAGGCAGAGTCGAACCCCGACAGTAGGCTGCAGCCCTCGTCCACACTCAGCTTCTTGTTACTTATTTATAGCAGCTTGTTTCCCAGAGGGACAAAGTAATTGAAACCAAATGTGTTGCCGGGACTGATACGGGGAAGTTGGGCGGTCAGCCCACCCACCCTCTCCTCTCTATACACAAACACTGTGAATAGATAGAGAGAGAACCTGGGAAATCACTTTTCCTGCAATTTCATTTCTGAGGGAAGAAGAAAAGAAAGTTTCCAAGCTTCATTTCTTCACAACTTCTCGGTTCACAACAAATAAAACGGCTTCATTCTCGGGGGCTGTGTATTTGTAAAGTGGTTATAATGTGTTTTTTTTTTTTGTTGTTTTTTTTTTACTTTTCCTCCAAACTGCCGAGTGGGAAAGATAAATAATAAAAACATTTCTTTATAAGAGACAAGCAAAAGGAGGAAGTGCAGCTGTAATTCGCTCCTGGTTTTTAAAGGAATAAAGTCGCAGCAGTCGGAGCTCAGCCCACCTCCCCGCCCACCGCAGCCACACCAACAGCACAGTTAATGAGCAGTCCAAACAAGGCAGTGAAACCAAACTTACCATGTTTCCTTTTCCTTCTCGTCTCCTCCTTATTCACTCTCTTTACTTCCTTCTCTTTGTGTCCCCTCCGGGCGCCCGGTGAGTCGAGGTGTGTCAGGCAGATAAAAATGGGATTGAGTTGCTGCTAAGAAGCTGCATGAGGCCTTCACTGACCAACTCAAAGTCAGGCCGCCACCTCTCTCTGTCTGTCCCCTCCCCGCTGCCTCGCTCTCTTGTCAGCTTTTCCAATAACAAACTGCTCCCCGCCTCTTTTGGCCAAGTCCCTGAGTTGTTTCTGGACGCTCGCTGGACTTCTGTGACCCGGCTGTCTCCCTCTTTTCTCCTTTCTCTCTCTTTTCCTTTTTTTTTTCTTCTTCTGCTGCTCTGCTGTGGAGAGTCTTGTTGCTCCAGCCCTCTGTCTCACTCAGCGGCAGCCCTGCCTTCCTTTCCAGATTTAGAAGCAGAGACACATGTGGGCTTCTGGTCTGAAGTTTAAAGAGGCGGGACTTGACTGAGAGTGTTGTGTTGTCATGACGACCCCTCCTTTTTTTCCAGTAGTTCGAGTCCTGCCCCTCTTGTGTTTTATGAGCAAATACACAGGGATGTGTTTGGATTTTTTTTTTTTCCATGTGTCTCTTTTTTTTTGTAGTGGAATATATTACACACGGTGCGACCTGACTACTGCTCTGGACTCGTGTTTTACAGTCTCAGCATGCCTGTGTGTGTGTGTGTGTGTGTGTGTGTCTACATAGTTATGAACACTTCCATCACGTTTAGCTGTCGCACTGCTACATGCTCTGATAGTTATGTGACATACAGAGGTATCAGATCTGAAAACGCCGTTATATTATGTCATATTTTGGTTATGAGTGCTTTGACAAATTGCAATATTTTGCATTTAATTGTGTATTTAATTATTTATTTCTGCATTTATTTATGTAATTCTTTTTTTGTCCTTATATATCAAACTTTTGGCACTGAGTGAAAGTAATTCATGCTTCCTTATCGTTCCAAAATACACTTTGTCTCCGGTGTCTAAGGTACAACAAGCGTAATACAACAATCCTTACTCAGTTATTTCATCTCCTCATGCTCTTGTTGGAGGCTGATTTTTTTGTTGTGTTCATTTATTTACATTTTCCTGTCACTGCGTTTGCTTCAGCTTCAAAAAAAAAAAAAAAAAACAGTCAATCAGTTGGACTGTGCAAGCGTGAGTGAACACGCGTGTGTGGGTGCACATGCGTGACCGTCAGCATGTGAGCTCAGGAGCAGGAGAAAGACACAGTAATTTGGAGAATGCAAATTCCTCTCCTCCACTTCAATGTTCTGCGGCCTGACAGCGAGGGAGGAAAAAGCTTCACAAAGCTCCTCATACAAAGCTGCACTTTCTTTTTTCTCTCTCCTCTCCCCCTCTTGCCTCCTCTCTTCCCTACTTGTCCTCCCTCTCTCCGCAGCCACACTGATCCCATTCTCTCTGCCTGCTTGTTTGTGGTGAGACTGATTTCGTAGGTTAGGGGAATACTTCATGCTTTGATGTTACATCCAGCAGTTTCACAGCCCTACGCCTTTGATAAGAAAGAGCAAGGTGCTTTATTATTAAAAGAGGTTAAAAAGCCGTTTATATGCCCAGGAAACAGGTTAAGCCGCAGATATGTCCACGCCCCGAGTTCACAGATTTTTAAGCCTTGTAATTTCAACAATTCAGAGTTTTTGTTTTTATCTTTCACTCCCACGTAAGACACAATGAAAATGAAGCCACTCTTTCACGAGCAACGCTGCCTAGAGAGGAAAAAAAGAAAAAGGAATAATAGCAATCATTGTTTAACGGGCGAGGCAAGTCCTGAATCTTAAGTGGTGCAGGCGGGGGGACGAAGGCTGCAGAACCCAGGGGAACCTCACTGTTGTTCCCTGGGCTGCAGCTGGAGCTCCACTTGATGATGTATTAATCAATAAATAAAAGGGGAAATCCCTGATAGGCTTGTGGTGGGAGAGAGGAGGAACACAGCAAGGCTCCGGCTCATAATGGAGACATAGTGTAGGCAGATACGCCGGGGAGGAGGCGAAACCTCAAACACAGAAAGATTTCTTAACAAGGGTTTAAAAGAGGAGGAGGAGGAGGAGATAGAGGAGCTCAGTTAAAGTGCTTCAGACTTTTTTTTTTAACTTAAAAAAGTTAGAATCATCTTTGACACCTCTTGCGCAGTTGTATGAGGTCTGTGAACACAGATTAAAGGTCCCGTATTTTACACTTTTCCCATGGTTTATCACAAGTGTTGATCTATAAGAAGATATATTTGTGGTTTTAAGAAGCAAAAACCATCTGAATTTAGTTTTACATCTCCTCTCTCAGGCTTTTCTCTGGAGCTCCAGCAACAACAGGTCGGTGAGCTGATTGGCTGACTGTTTTCTGAACAGATCTAAGGTAAACACACAAGCTGTGTCCCGATTGGAGGACGCAGTCTACAAAGGTGTGACCATCGAAGACCGTGAAGACTGAACGGAAATGAGACGTCTGGTCTATGGAAGATTTTCGCTTGGCTCCTGTCGCCTAGCAACCTTGACAACACATAACTTTTGTTCACAAAAACTTGAGGTTTTATGGCCCTTGGTTTTAACAGTCGTTCTGTTAGCTGTTGAACTGAGCTGAAACCCAATACTTACATTTAAAAGTGTGATCTTCAGGCTCTCTGTCTGAGTTGTTGGCTTTCATAAGCGGCGCGCAATGAATCTTGGGATAAGTTGGACCACAAAGGATCCACCTTTTGGAGCCTTCATTGACCAGGAGAAGAAGGAGACAGACAGTCTAGTTGCGCCACTGACTTGGGACACAGCTACAGAGAAATCCTGCCAGGCCGGATGGTGGGTCTGGGTGGGCGGGGCTTGGGGCACAGCTGAGATTCGGTAACTGCTTTGCTGTGACATCACAAAGTTACAGTTTTCTGAATACAGGCTGTGTGCATTTCTCTGTGGACTGAGGCTTTGATACTTTCACAGTATTAACACAGAACCTAGACCTGATCTATAATCACACTACACATGGACAGAGACCTTTATACATTAAGCTACAGCTGTCAGGTTGACAGCTGCTTCTTTCAGCCTGGTTCACTCTGAGGTGACTCAGCCAGAAACCCTCCACTTCTTAGGCTCCAACTTTTTCATGTTTAGTTCGTCCAATTAGATTATTTTTGCCTGTGAGAAATACCTGAATAACAAATAAACCAATCTGTCTGTTTACAGTTTTTTTTTTTTTCCTGTCAGTGTGTAAATCCATGTCTGTGTATATGGATGAGACAACCACCTCAGTCTGTTATTGTGTGCGTGTCTGATGGGAGAAGGAACATTGGACGTAACACGCCACTCTCTGTTTTGTTTGTCCATCATTCACACGTCTGTCTTCGCGTCCCTTCAGGTATGTCTCTGTGCATCATTCCCATTGTAATGCATAATGAATGTTATTGTTTTTATTGTGTTCTTGTGTGAATCATACCTAAGCCAGAAAAATCCCCAACCTGCCCCTCTCAGCCGCAGTGTCTGGATCACTCCCAGCCCGCTTCACTCTGTGTATGAAAACAGCCAATTACGGGCCCAGACCGGCCCAGCGACGGGGGTTTTAGAGCCGAGTCCAAATGCAGGCAGCCTTGGTTGAATATGAATTGTGTCACAGATGTCATCATGAATAAATATGGCTATTTATTTCAAACTCAAATTGCACTCTCGCTTGTTTACTCTTCCACCTCCAGCTCTAAGTCTGATTCTCCTGTCTGCTTTAAACCAGGCCTTAGCAGTGCAGATAGCGTCGCAATAACACAACGAACCCAAATTCATTACAGAGGCCACGTTTGCCTCATTTTCTCCTCAACGCCTCATTGCAATATCAAGAAGATCAGATGTTGCCAGAACACAGAGCGCCAGTTTAAAACAAAACGAGAAGCGGAGCGCTGCTGAGGAAGAGGTGATTATCATAATTAGATGCAAATGTTACGTGGAAATTGACTAAACGCTCTGAACGTCTCATGTGGGGCCTTTAGTTTTACAGTGCAATCTTATTTCAGCACAACGCCAGAGAGGTTGTTCATTTCAAAAGTAAATCCATATTTCCATTTGGGATGAAAATCATTACCTCGTACTCCGCACTCCATATACTTCATGATTCCGAACAAAGTATTTTTCTAAATAAAAAGAGGATCCAGGACCTGCAAAAAACAACAGTGATTTCAGTCGGCCGACTCACGTGGAGAGGATTGTTTTGTTGAATTCAGGGTTTATATCTGGCATCTGAGCTCTGACCAAGCACAGCACACAAGTGATGGTAACTACTAACCTCACGTAAGACTCACAGAGTCCTGCAGGGATGACGTATTTTTGTAAGCCAACCTACAAGTGGGTTGTATCACCCCAAGTTTCCTCAATAAAAAGCCAAAGTGATTTTTAAATTGTCTTTTGGATTGTTACAGAAAGTAAGTATCACCTTAACCACAGACGTTATTTCAGGAATCTAACTAAGAACCCATCGATGAAATCCTGACGTGCCTAAAATGCCAACTCAATTCCAGATTTTCATACTCATTCCTCCAGCACTCGATATGTTATAACAGCACTAATTTAACACTAAATCCACCTTTTTGGTGTATTAAATTATGTACAGGCACATTATTACTGTATCAATTGATCCTGGTCCCATTCTTAGTGTTCATTAGAACAGGAAGGGGCATGTTCAGGCTAAAATGTGGTGGTTAGCAGTGCAGCCAACTCACTCACTTTCTCTGTAGACTTGATGACTTTTACGACCCTGTCTCTTAGCTTTCTCAAAATGGCACCTAGCGACTAGGACACATGCTGAATAAATACATCAATGCGAATCTGCCTTTTCTGTCACTGAATACTTTTTTAATTTCCCAACTTCCTCGGTGCTGCTGACTCAGCTCTAAAACTTCAGCACTTTTAGGAGCTGGTCAATTCAGTCATTTTGTTTTCTTCCCAGCGCCTCAAGTTCATTTCCCTGTTAATTAGTCATTTGGAAAGTCACCTCGCCGGAAAACACAGCCCTGATTGGCAAACTGTCACAAGTGGCCGTGGCTCACCTGGAGGAAACAGAGGCTGCATGAAGACTCTAGCTGTCTGCCATAAAAACTTATATATCCTCAATATTTATTCATGATTGTTAATAGCATATACATACAGTATATTTTTCCCTCCTCAGGTTTCACGGTGATGCGCTGTGTTCTCTGCTTCCTCGCCTTTCTCGCTTTCCTCTTTGCCAGGAGGCACGTCTTTTTCCAT